TTTGCATTTATAGTATTATCCAAATGCTTAGTCACATAGTGGGGTAATTGTGAAATTGTCAGGTATTCTTCAAGAATAGCAGCTTACAAAGTATGCTGGTCCTTGGGATGCACAAGCTCAGATATAATAGCAGCAGCAGATTAGCAGTTTGCTGATGGGGTTGATGTACTGTCACTCTCATTAGGTGGTGCAGCCAGGCCTTATTACAGTGATAGCATAGCCATAGCCTCATTTGGAGCAATCCAAAAAGGGGTTTTGTTTCTTGTTCTGCAGGCAACTCAGGTCCTTCCAAATCAAGTGTAGGAAATGTAGCTCCATGGATCTTGACTGTGGGTGCTAGCTACACTGACAGAAGCTTTCAAACAAAGGTGAAGCTCGGGAATGGCCAAGTTTTCAAAGGGTCTTCTCTGTATAAAGGCAAACCCACAAAGCAGATGCTCCTTGTTTATGGAAAATCAGCAGCAAACAATGGCAGTGAAAGATTAGCACAGTATTGTGCTATGGGCTCACTTAATCCAGAGCTTGTGAATGGGAAAATGGTCGCTTGTGACAGAGGAATCAATGGCAGAACTCGGAAAGGAGAGGTAGTGAAAATGGCAGGTGGGTTAGGAATGATTCTGCTTAACTCTGCATCTCAAGGAGAAGAGCTTTTTGCTGATGCACATATTATACCAGCAACGTCCTTAGGAGCTTCTGCTTCTCAGACCATCAGAAGTTATGTTTTATCTGATAAAAAACCAACAGCTTCAATTTCATTTATAGGGACTGTATATGGAGATTCTGATGCACCAACAATGGCTGCTTTTTCTTCTCGAGGACCCAGTTTGGTAGGACCAGATGTGATAAAGCCAGATTTGACTGCACCAGGTTGTGAACATTTTGGCTGCTTGGCCACCCAAAACTAGTCCAAGTTTGCTCAAGAGTGACAAAAGAAGTGTACTATTTAACATAATCTCTGGCACATCAATGTCTTGTCCTCATGCAAGTGGCATAGCGCTTTGGTTAAGTCTGTGCACAGAGATTGGTCTCCTGCTGCAATAAAATCAGCCCTTATGACCACAGCTTACACTTTGAACCACAAAGGACTTCCAATTGGAGACATTGGCTCGAACAGATCATCAGAAATGGCTAACCCTTTTGCTTTAGGCTCAGGCCATGTTGACCCAGAAAAGGCATCTAATCCTGGGTTGGTCTATGACATTACTACACAAGACTACTTGAACTATTTGTGTAGCCTGAACTATACTTCCTCCCAGATTGCTTTATTATTAGGCAGTAAACGTACTTGCTCCATTGATGGAAGTCTTCAACCTGGTGACTTGAACTACCCTTCATTTGCAGTTTTATTAGCAGTAGAAATACCAAGAATGCTAGAGTGACCTACAAGAGGTTGGTCACTAATGTAGGGTACCCCAAAAGTAACTATGTAGTGAAAGTGGAAGAACCAATGGGAATATCAGTGACTGTTGAACCAAAGAATTTGAACTTTGGAAAAGTGGGTGAGAAGTTGAGTTATAATGTGACCTTTGTGGCAGATGGAAGAGCAAGAGTTTCTGGTGGTTCATCTTTTGGGTCATTGGTTTGGATTTCTGGGAATTATATTGTAAGAAGTCCTATAGCAGTAACATGGGAATAGTCATGAGAGTTTCTTCTATCTTGGGGTATGTCATAAGAGGCAGAGAACTTCAAGATGGAGAATTCATTGCTGTTGTGAAGATATCTCCCAAATTCCAGGTAGTGGGATGAGAGTAATTTATTATTGCTCTTTGCTATTGGATGCAAGCCGCTTCAAATATTGTTGTTGTTGTCATTTTACAAGTTTTTCTTTAAAAAAACCGCATGTAATTTAAATGCCAAGGACTAAAATGTTCCCCTTTGCTTTGCATAGAGTCTAAGGTGAGCTGCATTATTCATAGCATATGAATACTAGCTTCATACAAATTTAATATTATATATATGGATGGATGGATGGATGTATGGATGTATGTATGTATAGATGGCAGTCTAAGTGTAAAAATATTAATTATAATAATATAATCTAATATTAATAAAAAAATATCTTTCTATATGAGGTGGTTTCAAGATTTTTTTTTGTGAAAATTAAAGAAATTAATAGGCTGAGAGCCACGCTAATTGATTCAAACATCAATGTTATAAAGAAATAGAGAAAAAGAAAAGTGTGGAAATATTCAAGAAAATTAAAGAAATTAATAGCTGAGATCCACGCTAATTGATTCAAGCATTGATGTTATAAAGAAATAGAGAAAAAGGAAAGTGTGGAAATATTCAAGGAAAGGTTACTCACTTACTTGTTGTTACTGTCAGAAGATTAATGAAATTTCCTCCTTTTTTCAAGGAAAGGTTACTCACTTACTCTTAATTTTTGTTTAATGCTTGAAATGATTAAACATAAAGTTTAGATCATGGTTCCAGAGAAAAACGTGCAAAAGAGAGTGACATATTTAAGCTATCCTTGAAGGAATTTTGAAACCTGAAATAATATACATGAAAAAGAATATAATGACAAAAGGATCACATTATATCATATAAAAGCCATCCGAAAGCATTCAAATATGACAATAATTGAAACATTTTGTCTACTAGCATTTTGGTTTGAAAAAGATTACACATTTCCATTGCACATCACACTCAGTATCATATATAGCCCAAAAAATTATCAGATCATGGAGTACCACAAGGCCACAGCAATAAAATGAACACGAAACTTGACAATAAATTCAACAATAGGTATTGAACCATACCTCTTTGTTATACAAGTTTTTAAAAACCGAATCAATCATTAAATTAATAGAGATAATGGTTCACAATTTGCTGTTCTAACTTGGAAGATGGTTGAGAAGTGGAATCAGATTGTGCAATTAATTTCATTCTTGTCAGTTGTTTCATTTGTTATAATAGATTATCTCCAATTAATGTTTGTACTGAAAAGCTGCCAAAAATGTTCTGAGGCAGCATATATACAAACCCGAATGGGGACAAGCTGTTGATAATTAAGAACTGATTAAATCTTTCTAAACTAACTGATTTAAGAACTTAGACTATAAGTGAATGATAAAATGGTTCATTTGCCTTAACCATGCGTCTACTTGTAATTAATATGAAGATATCTCTGGGTTAAAAAGTGGACGAAAAATGTGTTCACATTTTACTGTTCCAAATTTTGATATGACCATGAGAATGATAGAAACAGAGAAAAAAGCTAGTCAAAGACTTCAGTGGCACATAAATAATCTTCATTATTTTGGTTTTTTTTTTCCTCATTATATAATTTAATAAGCTTCTCGAGAACTTCTCTTAAATCAACAATGGTGCCTAAAACCCATGAATTCTTTTTAGCAAGGGCATCCTCCCCATTAATGTCCATTAGTGTTGACCATTAAAAAATAATAATAAAGCAAACGCAGGTGTAAAAATACTCAAAAACTTTTTTCCAATGCAAAAATACCAAGAAAAAAAAAACATATTTTCTAGATGCAAAAGTACCTTGTATCCCAAAAGTTATTCTAGTGATCCAGGGAAGGTTGCTCTGGTTTAAAAAAGTTAATAGGCACTCTTGCACATTTTTTGACTTAAAAATATTGGATACTCCTGATGAAAAAAGTTCTGAAATATTTTTGTCCTTTTAACCCTTCAATGAATTTGATGAACATTTACTTATCCCTTGTTGCCATGAGAACAAGATGAATGTAAATTACAAAACAGAGAGTTTTTATGGTTTTTGGGAAGTAATTTACACCATAGAAGAGTTGCCGGTTTTTAAGTGTGTCACGCTTGTTGAAGATACAGATATACAGATAGTGTACAGTTTTGCAGCTTAGAACTCATTTTGGTTACATTTTTGCTTTGCCGGGAGTAAAAATGCGAGAACTTACCAGACACAGGAGAATTTAGCTTACATCACATGTTTTTGTTGATGTGAATATTGTACTGTGTTCTGATCCAGAGTACTGGTTAAATTTCCTATGCTATAACAGCGGCTCTTGAAACATAATAAATGTTGGCCAAAAAAGTTATGATTTGTTTTATCTTAATTAGCTTTTTTTTTTTTTGTGACATTGTAATTGATTGTAATTTATTTTATCAGATGATCAACTGTCACTAGCGAATATGCAGTTAAGCTTCATAATATCCATTATTTTTTATAAGGAACAGGACAGTATTCTGGGTCCCTATTCGACCCAAAATAACACTTCATATGACAAATTTGAACCTCATTGTTCAGTTTATTTCTTTTTCATAATATCTATTAAGATTTCCAATTGTTTTTATTTCATTTTGTTATCTGTCATGTCTAGTGTCAAGAAATCAAAACAAATCGTTTTGAAAGTGAAGAAATCTAACTTCCTAGACGCTGATAATTTTAGTCCTCCAACATAAAAGCATCATTTCCTCGCATACCACCAAAAAAAAAAATATACATATATATATCATTTCCTCACAAATTTGTCTTCCGAAAAATGGCATTTATTTTGGGGATATTTGAACTGTTAATAAATTTAAAGACGGCTAAGATATAAGGATGATACAAGTCTGCTAAAAAAAATGAACATTATAATTTGTAATGTACATGGCTAAAACGACAAAAATTGTTAAATATAATTCAAATTTCGTATACAGTTTATCTGTTGTTACTTGTTAGCCCTCTAATGAATTCATTATCCATCCTACGTAATTTATCAGCCAAGATGTAGATCAAAAGGAAAACCGACAAGAGATGCATAGCCAAATTTAAGATTTAATTACCTATAGCTGAAGTGAGAAAAAATACAAACTCCGCCTAAAAAAAGGTCAAAACAAGGCCTGGTTGTTTCAATGAATATGCTTCAGAGATCTACTCTTCATTTTCTGAAGAATGCACTTTCTTCTTAAGACGCCATTGATAGATGCATCCCATTCAAGGTGAATTTTCATGGGGCATTATTTACAAGCTTTGCACGTCTAGTTTTCTGATCAACTTCAACCCTAAGTCCAAGTGCTGAAATTTGCGGCAAGTCAACAGATCCCTGAACCTCCAGCTCTGCAACTACCCTTTGGTTCTCCTCATTCCCCTCCAACATATTCCTCACTGACCATATTCCCCACTCCCTAAGGAATGGATTGTCATCATCAGTAACACACTGTTGCAATAGCAGCATTATTCCATTTTTCTTCCTTACCTCATCTTGCGCATGCTTTCTTCTGTACACACAATTCCCCACAAGAGCAACAATGTCTCTCCTAAATCCCTTGTACAGGCAGGGTTTCCACAGCCTAGATGGTTCAGCTTCGTCTCGGTTGTCAGATTGTGTTACTGCTTTCCTGATTATTGCTGGAGGCTCAAGATCATGAAGCAAGGACAAAAGCAAATCAATGAGGCCATGTGATAATAATTCATTAACAGCATCCTCTGCATCCCCTTTGCTACCTGCTGCCGCATCATCTTGGGCACAAATATCTCTCAATATGCTCATAGAGTATCCAAGAACGTCAATGGAAGCACAGCCAGTAGGTATACCAGACTTGGCTTTAGGGGTGTGCTCAAGAACCCCAATAGACTGCTTGAATATTTCATAAACAAACATTGTAACATCCTTTATAATAGTGATATCAGAAATCTTTTCATTCAAGACCTCTGCTAGAATTCCTAAAAGAAATGCTTGTTCAGATGTTAACTGATCATCTCTAGATTTAGTAACTTCACCCTCAGGAGCAGCCCCAGACCATAATTTAGCGAACAATAGAGGCAACTGAGATTCTTCCCAGCATACTCTTGAAAGGAGTAACTTTAACCAGTCTTCTCCAAAACCAACTGCTTCGTATGGAAACCAATGAATAAAGAAAATAACAAAAGAAAAGGAATATAATCAAATATTCCAAAGAAACCCTCAAAAACCCAATGACAACAGAGAAAATTGGCACATTATACAAACAAATAGTTCTTATAACTTACCACAAGAAGCAGTTCTCACAATTTCTACCATTATAGGCCACCCACGATCACTGTAAAGCTTTCTAACTAATTCAGGATTCCCATCACAACATGTATAGATTATCATACACAAGGGATCGCAAGTCTCCTTGCTCCGGAGTCTTGCAAGAGATACAAAACCATTAGGATAGAGTTCTTCCCAAACAGCATGCTGATGTTCTTTCCCAGCCAATGAAACATTTGCCAAAACCTGCAAACCCACACGAACCAATCCCTGATCTGGGCCTAATAAACCTGCCACTGACGTTTAAAACATTTGAGACAATACCAGCCCCCTTGAGCTCAACAAATGAGTTTTGATTTGCAATTTCTCCAGCACATAGATTTCTAAGGAACTTCAAAGACAGTGAAAGAAAATGATACCGTGAGGTACAATGCACAGAGTGAATTATCTCCAGCACTGCTGGGAGAAGTCCTTTGGAAGCAAGCTCTGAACGCCCAGAAGCAGATTTGGAAATTTCTATGAGAATTTCTAAGGACTTTTCTAAGTCAGTCGAGTTTGAAGCCCCAAACAATAACTGAAGCGTATGCTCTGATATGGGGTACTCCAAGGTATCAGTATGACCCATTACGTATGGGAATGAAAATAAAGATTGAATAATGTGAAACACCCACAACTGTCGTTTGAAACTCAGTTTTTTATCCTGCAGAAATTTAACCAAAAATGAAAAACAAATGAAATTAATACACACACACGAAACACATCTCACTCTATCAATAGATGGAGAAGGCTAGAAACTACATGAAAGAAAACATTACAATAAACCATTTGAATATAATGTTGATTCAACTGTTATTGCTTACTCTCTCTTAAAACATGGTGTACGAGCTAGAGAGAAGAAAAACAAGAAAGGGTAAGGAAATTGAAAGCATCCACATCAATACTAATCAAAGACAAAAAGGAAAAATTTGAGAAAGAGCACAGAAGTTTAAAAAAAAAAAAATAGAATCTAACTGGGAAGAAAACAGACTTCGCTGATCTGCTGCACAGCACCGACTGAACCTAACAGCAAAGAGAGGAAGAGGGAGCTGATTGAACGGCTCAATTGACCGCAAAAGGAATAGTGATGGCAGGGACGACAAAGAGATGGCTCTGCCTGAACACCTAGGAGGAAGTGGAATTTAAAGAGAAAATAAACGGATGGTTCAGATTCATCATGGAAAAGAACAATCTAGATTCACTAAAATTAAACTAATTGCTGCTACTTCTTTGTGGATGATGCTCTACTTTTTGTGAATGCTAATTTGGATAATTATAGAGGATTAGCTGAGATTTTGAAAGTGTACTGTGAAGCTTCTAGTCAGTTACCTAATCTTGACATCTCTGGTGTTTTTCTTTTTTCTTTTTTTTTTTCTGCTAATGTACCTAATAGTGTTATGAATCAGGTCTGTGATGTTCTCGGCATTAGTGAATCTGCTGATTTTGGAAAGCACTTGGGTATACCAAGTGTGTGGGGCAAAATCTAAGCAACAAGCATTGGCTTACGTGAGCCTTATGTGAGGGAAAAAGTGAGAAAGGAGGTTAAAGGGTGGAATAAGAATCTATTTCCCTTTGCTAGAAGAGAACTTATGATAAAATCTGTGGTGAACGCTATTCCTCTCCTTCCTATTTCTTGTTCTAAATTTCCTAAGGTGACTAGCAAACAACTGATAGCATTAAGTATTAGCAGGATGGGAGCGGTAGTGGAGGTAAATATATTACAACACACTCATAAATAAATTGGGAAGAGTTGCTAAACAAAAGGGAAATTTCCAGCTTATGGAGGTTTAAACCATATCAGTCTATTAGCCTATTTGCAGTTGCGCCCTGTCACGCCCCAATTTTAGACACTCGTAAATAGATTGATTGCAGGCTGAAAGATTAACCTATCCGAAAATTATAATAAACTAACAAACTAAGAATAAAACTATCCAATCATAACTGAAAGAAAATAGAATGTCTTCTTGAAACAAATAAATAAAGGACTAATTAAAATGAACTGCTAAATGTCAATAGTAAAAGCACGTGATCTTCAATGTATGATGTTTCCAACGTAAGCTAAATCAAATCAATAAACTCTTAAACACATTCTAACGAATATCTCAATCATGACTTCCGGTCAAAATTAAAAAGGCATCAGAGCCATTTAGTATTTGTAAAAGAATATCCATAGCACCAACCACAAATGTCACAAAACTGTAAGAGATGGTAGATGCATGAGAAGTCAACATATTTACATATGTAAAGCAGCAGAAAACAAACGGGAATAAAGGAAACAACCAAAGCAATTATCCAAATCACAATATATACAGATGACAGACCCAATGGAATGAAGATAAATGTTGAAGCTTGAACTCACCAATGATCAAAAGAGGAATGGAAGGAAGAATTCAAGCTCCTCTCGCTCACCCAAACAGCACCGACAGAACAGGGGAAGAAAGTAGAAGTTGACGGCATGCATCGAAGGGAGGAAAAACTCACGAATCAGGCCTCCAGCAGCGGCAGCTCAGCTCTAACATCCACCGGCTGCAAGCGGACAGAACACACACACACACACACACAGAGATGATGAGAGAAGGAAGAACAATGGAATGGAGAATTTCAAGGTCTCTCCCTCTCTCAGCCACAGGCAACGGTTTCGAAGAAGAGAAAGGGGGAGGGAGGATCAATCTCGTGGCAAGGGAGGAGGAAGGAGAGAAGACGACGTCGAGCTCCCTCGCCGAGGTTTCGTTCCGATAGCGCCGAGAACGAAAAATGGAAAGGGCAAAGGCAAAGAAAATATGATAATCTGATATGCTGTTTCTCTTGTTAAAGGGTATTTTGGTGATTTGCTGGTTTCAGAAAATAAAATTTGTTTCTTTCAAACCCCAAACTCCATTAAATTTATTTGCAAAACTTTCACTAAACTACTCATTCCTTCTGTTAAACTAACTCCAAAGCATATAAAAATATGAAGAAATAATAATAAAATTTCTTTGCATTATATAAATAATATTTTAATCAATTAAAATGTTATAATTCTTTTAAAATCGTTAAAAACTTTTCTGTTATTAAAGAATTAATGTGAATGATCAAATTACTTTTAATTCATAATTTCAAATGCAAAATTAAAATTGTTATTGCATTTTTATAATTTTTAAAAAAAATTGTAAATCTTAGAACAAAATTGATGAATGGTAATTGATATTCGTAACACCTGAGAAATATCAGAATTTTAAATTTAAACTTGTGAATTGTTGTTGAATTTTTACTATTTTAAGAAGAAAATCTGTAAATCTTGAAATAAAACTTGGAAATGGTAATTGATATTTGAATTAATGACAATTTAATCATTTATATTAATTTTTTAATGACAAAAAATCCTTAGAAACTTCATCAATATTATGATATTTCGAAAGATAAAATTGTCATTTAAATAATTCGAAAGAATTTTATTATCATTTTTTTAAAAATATACTTAAAATATTTTATCATAAATTTCTTTTTTTTAATTTCATTTTATTTTTTTCCCTAAAATTCTTGAAATGGTACATGCCAATCTCCAAGAAGCGCATCTCAAAACTACCAGATTTGCATTCCTTGTCATATGAAGCAAAAAAAAAAAAAATATAGAGGACAAAAATCAGTCATAATAGAGAAATTAGATTCATATGGCTAGCACAAATCAGACTTTTATCAAAGTAACATGCCCTTATTTGAGAAAATAAAGAAGATAACTTACTTAGATGGAAAGGAAATTCCTCCAAAATCAAAAATGGGTCTATCAAGAAAAAAAGACTCATGAGAATGACCAGAGGACCGAAGGAGAACTCACCGGAAAATGCTTAACCTGACGATGCATGGCGACAACACTAAGAAGAATCGAGACAGAATGCACTGCCAGAGCACCAGGAAGCACGAGGTGGGAGAGAGGGAGTCTGGAGAGTGAGTTCAATCACATTTTTTTATAGAAAAATGACAATTAGAAACCTCACGAAAATTATATATTCTGATTATTAAAATTTCAATAAAATATTATGGTCTTTGTTTGTAATAAAGTATATTTTGTTGATTGACTTAAGATGCATAACTAATCTTTATAAATTTTCAATTAATAATATAAAAGTTTTTAAATATCTTTTGTTGAACTTTTAAGAGATTAATTTATAGAGTTTTCTAAATTCTCAACTAGCGTTATAAATAATTTTAAGTTTATTTTATTGATTTTCTAAGTAGTTTATCTGTATATTGATAACAAAAACTCAAGATTCATAATTGACTATCATAAATTATCAACTAATGTTATGAATAATTTTAAGTATATTTTGTAAATTCCTCAAGCCATTTATCTTTATATTAACAGTAAAAAACCAAAACTAATTGACTTATAATTTACAATTAACTTTTATAAATTTTTAATTAACGTTATAAATAACTCCAAGTTTATTTTATTGATTTTTTCAATAGTTTATTATATATTAACAGTATAAAATTGATATTCACAATTGACTCTTATAAATTTTTAATTAAAGTTATAAATAATTTCAAGTGTATTTTTTTAATTTCTAACTAATTATTCACATTTTTTAATTGCAACTAAGGACCATGGTCTATTAATGAAATTTTAATAATTCAGGATTTTTAACTATAATTAATATTCTTATAAGATCCCTAATTATGGTTTTCCTTTTTTTTTTCATGGATAGGCAAGGATGGAATATAGTAAAATGTATATGGGTAAATTAGTTGAAAAATTTGGCTTTCCTCCAATGCCCACAAACCAAACTAACCCTTGGCGAATGCCATATAATTGACTTATCTTTGTTTATTGAAAGATTTCAAGATAGTTTGGAGATTTTATTAAATATATTATTATATAAAAATAGAAATTACTTTTTAGTTATTATCATAAAAAATTATTATTTATTTGCTTTTAAATTTTTAAGATATCCAAATGTATCTTTGTATTATAATATGAATATTTACTTTTGTTGATCATATCTGGTTATTTTCATATTCTGATTATTTTTGTGAAAAAATAATTCTGATTATTTTTATAAATTTAAATAAATATTATAAATTTAAAAAAATTATGTGTGAAAACAAGAGATTTTTTCATTATCGAAAAAGCTAAAAAAAATGGATGATTGATAAAGGTGTGATTGGTAAATGTATTTTTTGCATGAAAAATAATTGTTAATATTTCATTATTTTTATCATTATCATTTTAATAATATAAGTAAGAATGGATCTTGAAAAAATTATAATAAAATCTCTTTAAATTATATAAATGATATTTTAATTCCTTGAAATGTCATAATTTTCCTAAAATTCTTAGGAACTTTTTTGTCATTAAGAAATTAATATAATAACCAAATTATCCTTAATTTAAACTTGTGAATTGCTATTGAATTCTTCCGATTTTTAAAAAAAAAGTTATGAATCTTAGAACAAAATTTATAAATGACAATTGATATTTACAACACTTAGAGAATATCAATATTTCAAATGTAAACTTACGAATTGCTATTGAATTCTTGCAATGTTAAGAAAAAAGTTTTGAATCTAAAAAAAAAACTTATTAATGATAATTGATATTTGTATTAAGGACAATTTGATTATTTACATTAATTTTTAATAATAAAAAAGTCCTTAAAAACTTTAGGAGAATTATGATATTTTGAGGGACCAAAATATTATTTATATAATTTAAAAGGATTTTAATATTATTTTTCCATGAATTTTAGAAGTTGAACTAGTGTCGACTGTGCCAGCTTAATCAACACCTTAAATACTCATTAGCCACACAAACCAGATTATAAATGTGTATTTGGATTCGACACTAACTGAGGCTTGGGAGCTCCAATGTCAGTTTAGGTCTGGAAATTAAAAAGTTCATTAGGAGGTTTTAAATTTTGTCTGCGTGATAGATTTTTGAAAAGAGCTTTTTTTTTTTTTGGTACAAACAAACTTCATTACTCAAAAGTTAATAAGTAATCCCCCTCCCCCTTTGCTTGCTTTATTTGTAGTAGATTTTGACCATTCATCTTTGGAAAGAGCTTGATCATGAGTAAAAGTGCTTTTTTTTTTTTTGGTGGCGTGAAGTCAGGACGATACAAAAGTCCTTTAGTTTTGTATGACTGGATGTGACCTTTACAAACTTAGCCTAGTTTCATCTTGTAAAAAAAAAAAAAACACTAATTTAAAGAACTAAAAAGACTAATAAAATTAGATTTCATTTTCAAATTCAATTAGATAGGGGATCGAGATTTCAAACCACTTAATCTGGTTTAATCTTACAAAATTATTTTGATATAATCATAGTTATTTTTAATATAATTATAATGTGATGTGCAAAGAGCCCACATACTTCACATCAATGAGAATGCATAAGCCTTAGATTTAAGTGTTAATATGAGAAATCTATTAACTATTGAAGATTGATCTGTGTGAGCTTCTAAATGCATGTTGTTTATAAAATCCATTGTTCTCGATACTGTCTAAACTTATGGTCTGGAATTCTAAATATTGTGTACTTGTCATCTGGATGTATACTTCTTGTGAAAATAACCATATATTATTTTCCCAACTTGTTTTCTTAGATGTTGCTTTATTGTTCTATTCTGTTAAGAATTAATTATTTGTTTTATTTTTGGTGTATTAATATATTCTCAATCTCATTGATAATTTTGTGTGTTTTATCCTTATGAAGTCATAGATGTTGAAGTTTGTTAAATGTTGTAATTGAAATATTTTTCATTTTTGTTGAAGATTGTTATAAATTTATTATGATTAACTTTCAATTTTTTGCAATAAATTTTACATGATTATAAGTATTTTTATTATCTTAATTGAGTTTTTATGTCAAAATAAATTGTTACTTCTTATAAAAGAAAGAGGAGTTAAAAAAGAAGCAAAATGAGGTACCAAATTACCGAAATTAGTCTTCCAATCTGGCCTTATTCAACTTTGGGTTAACTCTAGACCAATGCAAATTACGAATTGCCTAACCCAATCACTTCTATAAAAGAGACTAAATTTTAAGTTAGGTTAAAATCTTATTCAGTTTTTTATGCAGTTGTACCAATACATGAATCCATATGAAATGACAAAATATGCAATACTGGCACATTATTTTTCCTTTTGTTTTCTTTCTTTCCTAAATATTTAATTTTAATTTTGACTGCATTATTATTGTTGTAATTATCACTTTATACTTTTTAAGAAATTAATATTTTTATTTATCAATGTATTTTATATTTTTAATCTATTTTTTAAAAAAATTGTAATTTTAAGTTTAATGTTTTTTCCTAAAAATATCTAGTTTGTTGTAAAATATATTCAAGAAAATTAATATCTATTTTGTAAATTATATATCTCAATTTTTTAATCAAATTATCTAAATAAATTTCAATTTATCTAACTAATTTCTAAACGAAAGATATTCAAATATAAATCATGCTACTTTAACATATTTTTATCCTAACCTCAATTAATTCTAACTTTAATTGGAGTTTTTTTTAATTGAAACACATCTTAAATAATTAAAATTATTTTTTGTTTTTTTTTTTGGAAGAACAAAGCATATCAGTCATAGCTAGTGCCATCAAGTTAAAAGTGAGGAAGATGCCGTTATGCAACCCTCTAAATGTGATTTTGGTTTTTTTTTTTTTTTTTGAGCAACTCTGTATCACTCTCTCTCGCACAATTTACAAAGATAAATAATTTTTAAATAATTTAAAAATTTTATGAAAAAATAATTTATTATATA